GACCTTGATTTAACCAGCCCCTGGCTGAGGCTTCTTCTGGGATTTGAAATCAAAACCAAGATGGGACATCCCCTTTTTAATTCTCAGCAAACACAGTGCCAGCCACTGCTGCACTGCACAGTTCAGTAAATGGACCTGCTGCCACTTGTATCCCTGTATCTCTGCTCCTACACCCCTGGGGATGTGTAGGGAATACCACATGGAGGAGAGCAGCTCTCACAGTGAAGTCAGATCAATGAGAAGACAGATTTCCCCAGGGTAAACAAGTATTTGGTTTTTTGTGGATGCAGGAAGCTCCAAAGTGTTTTTGGACAGGAGCTGCAGATATCCCAGGCACCTCCAAGCATCTTAAATATAAGAAGGCATGTGTGTTACAACAACAACGGATTTTTTATCATATAAATCAAGTCTTATTTCTGAATTAGCTACTGCAACCCTTCTAAGCATCAAAGGCAGTTGTCGAACACACTAAAGATCCAACTTCCCTTGGTTTTGAACACAGAATAAGAAATTTCACCCTTCCTAAATACTTACCCAATCAGATACCAACAAACAAACAGAAGTGGCCTTTTTTTTAGGATGCTATTCCTTAAATCTTTGCAGTTTTACCCCTCCTTTAGTTATACCATCAAGTAGTTTTTCACTTTGCTATTCCTCTGAAGCACCAACACTGTAAAGACTTTTCTTAATTTGACCAGAGCCAATTATATCCTAGAATTCCAAGTAAATTAGTAAGGAAAAAAAAAATAGGTGAGAAGAGCAGCCATCCCAAAGGGCCAGAAGAGCACAGAGTGACTGTAGGCACGGCAGAAGGGCAGGATGACCCCCACCAAAAGCCAGTCAGAAAGGAAGAAAGGAGCCTCACAAAGGAGGAACCACCCAACTAGTCTTCTACTGATTAATTCCTGTGCTATGGAAGTTGCTAATCACATCAAAAAAAGAAGCAGGAAATGTTAAAAAGAACCAGAAAGGAGAACTCACGGGTCTGTGTGTTGTGCTGTGCCACTGACAGGGACCGACGTTCTCGGCCAAGCAGGGAGCTCCCACTTCAGCAGGCTCCCAACACTCTGCTGCCAGCTGACCTAGGGAAGGCATCAGTGCATCAGCAGGAGCCAGGGGGGATGAAGCAAACTGGCCTGCAAGACTCTGCCAAATAAGGGATCTTTCCCCCACAACAGCTTGACAGAATCAACTCCCTGGAAGGCAAGTGGTGAAACAGCACTGACAGAAACATGCCAGCTCCCTGCACGGCCAAAGTGATGCTGGGCAGTCCCTCCTGTGAACTCTGCAACAATTCCCTTCCTAATACAGCAGGTAACCAAGAAAGAATCTCACTTGTGTGGCATCTTGGCCCTTCTGTCCTTAACAGGGCAAAGAATTCCTGGTTAGCCTATAGATCCCTCAACTTTACCCATACTAGAATTTTTCCCAAAATAAGTAAGTCATTCTTCCATTTCTCCTCCTTGGCCTTCTGTCAGCACATGCAAGAACTCCCTTCCAACACTTTACACATTTTCATAGTAATAATAAATGTTTTCCTGTTCATAAGGAGTAAATGTGGCAGAAAAACAGGAAGATTTCAGACCCCTTTTTTAAATGAAAAGGCAGTCTTGCCTGCTCCTACATTTACCCCAGAAAATCACTGCTCAAATGATGCACAAGTGAAGATAAAGGAGTTGAAAACCATCAGTGTGTTTGATTTGGCACCTGACAGGAACGATACTGTGAAGGGACACAAGATTTGCAGCAAAACTATAAGATTTCATTGTTCATATAACTTGAAATATTCATTGTCGGTGGTATCAGGTTCTTGTTTCATCCGAGTTTGAGACTGATCATTCTAAGCTTCAGGCACCGTTTCCTACATTCCCCCTTTACATAGAGGGAATGCAGGAACAAAGTGTTAGAGACCATCAGAATACTTTGATTCCTCTAAATAGGCGACAGTGGATATTAAATACACCCTGCACAGCTTCAGCTGCCAAGGGAAACACTGGGAGCATGGTCGGAGCAGGAGGCCTTTGGCAAGCCAGGGCCTGCTGGGATCATGACAAACACAAGGATCTCTTTTTTTGATGGTTTGCACAGAGCAAATACTTTCAGGCCAAGAAGTTCTTTGCCTTTATCACCATTATTCGTGTACAAAGCCAAATCTCTGAGGACTGGTTTGTTTCGGAGTCTTTGTTTTTTTTTTTCTTTTTTTCCCCAGCAAACTCGGTGACTTTTAAGGCTTTAATCTCACAGCTGCCAACACTTCCAGCTGGAAGAACCCAGACAGCACAGGGGTACAATGGCAGCAGCATAACACCAAGAGGTGTGGTGACAATCCATCTGCCTTTGGCCAGGCAGTAGCACCCAGCGAGGAAGACAACGTGGTCTTTATCAGGGCCACACCTTCCCCTCCTGCTCACACAAGTACCAAGAGCTCCGCGTCCAGCAAAAAAATACAGAGCCAGATTCCAAGCTCTGGATTACCCATGGCTATTCCTCTCTCCCCAGAAAAATATCGTGGAGAATCTCACCGTGGCAGCAGCAGAGCAGCACTTCTGGGCTCTCCAGAACAACCAAGGCTTGCTGGCTCCCCTCGGCGGGCCGGTGGTACCGCGCGTGCACGGGCACAGCAGCACGGAAACAGCGGGAACATCGCGGGTCTGCTTCCAGGTACAGCACCAGGACAACAGCCGTGGCCAAGTACTCGGGAGCCTCCACATCAGTGACATCAGGAATTAACACCGCCTGCGAGTGGGAAAGATACAGGTGTGGCTGTGATCGGAACTGACACCAGGGGGGGAAAACAATTTCCCTTATTTTATTTTCTGGCACTGGGCTTGATTTCGTGGTCAGGATGATCAAGCTGGAAATTCTGGCCTTAAGCTGCTCCAAAATACCTTTCAAGTCCCTCTCCAGTGAGTGATTCCTACATGTGAAAAGCTTAGTGTCACTGTGCCTGCAGCCAAACCTGGGAGGCATCAGCTCAACAAGGTGATTAAGCACGGCCGGACCTGCACCTCAGGCACCCCAAAGACAGAAGGTGCCCACAGCCTTTGCATCCACGTTTTAACCAAATTAAGCACCTAAGGAAATTTAAGCCACAGCCTTTGCACATCTCTATATCCAAAATGTGAAGCAAAGACTAGAAAGTAACACAGATGAAAACAAAGCTGGGAAGCTACTCCATCCAAACACACAGCACACTGCTTATAGCTCCCCACCACCTTTCTGGGGGTTACCCTTCCCCCTTCTCAACCTGAGTGCTTTTCCCACAGCTGCTCACCTGGGGGCTAAGCAGAGGAGCAGCAGCTCCACCAGACAGTGTATGGGAATATCAGCAGCACATGACACAAAATCGATGCTGATCGAACAAGAGATGCAGTGAGATGTCACAAAGATGATTCTGTGTGGCATCTCCTTCCAGGGATTAATCCCCTTGGTGCAACAAGCCAGATAATGAGCAGAGATTACAACTCCCTGAGTCCTTATCCGGGTCACTGCCAGATCTCCTGGCACTGGGGCCGTTACCTTGGTTAAATTTTGCTGCTGCAGCATCGCCAGCTCGTAGGAATCCACGTAGATTCCCGGTGGAAGACGAGTTCTAGCTGCCACTGCACATCCCCCTGCATCCTCCCCAAGCTCCACCTTCACCAGCAGGTCCCTTCAAGCAAGAACAGAAGCAAAACATTTATACCTGCCCTTCAAAAGTTGGCACAAAACCCCTGAGAGACATTTCCCAGATGCACAGAGAAGAGATGCAGCTCTCACACTGTGTAATTCATTCAGAACACAGTTTCCTGCCAAGCCGTGCTCTCTTTCACCCCAACTCCACATCCATGGCCATAATGAAGTTTCACTTCTTTGTTAACTTCTCAATTACCAACGGTCTCCACAGAGATCTCAGAAAGGGAACTTCAGTGGGGAGTGTTCTCCTCCACTAGAGCTTGTTAATCATTTGATCATGTTAATCCATTCCTGAGACATGCCCAGGGATCACGGCTCAAGAAGCTGATACAACTGTGCCTGAAAAGAGGAGAAGCTTCTTCTCATGTAAAATCAGCCCTGATGTTGTACTGATGGAGGGGTGGGAGGGCAATCACCTGTGAAATCCTTCTTTGAGGAGCTCCTGTGTGACTGTGGTGTCCTGACAAGCTGCCTGCACATCTGAGGTGACACAGAGACAACAGGTTACAGTGTGCACAGAACAGTACAGAGATCACAGCACAGTGATCACAGCACTCAGAGAGATCACAGCTCTCACAGAGATCACAGCAATGATCACAACACACACAGTGATCACATGGGCTGTCAACTTTAACTAGTGAAGCCGTATAATCCATGAATATCTCATCTGCAAAGCCTCTCACAGCAGAATTCGACTGTGATCAACAGCAGAAGACATTTCCTGCGCCACTGACTGAGATGTGCTTCCCAAATCATGGAACGGGTTAGGTTGGGAGGGACCTTAAAGCCCATCTCGTTCCATCCCCTGCCATGGGCAGGGACACCTTCCACTAGCCCAGGTTGCTCCAAGCCCTGTCCAACCTGGCCTTGGACACTTCCAGGGATGGGGCAGCCACAGCTTCTCTGGGCAACCTGTGCCAGGGCCTTCCCACCCTCACAGGGAACGATTCCTTCCCAGTATCCCATCTAACCCTGCCCTCTGGCAGTGGTAAGCCAATGCCCCTTGTCCTGTCCCTTCAGGCCCTTGCCCGCAGTCCTCTCCAGCTCTCCTGGAGCGCCTTCAGGCACTGGAACGGGCTCTAAGGTCTCCCCGGAGCCTCCTCCTGTCCGTGCTGAGCACGCCCAGCTCTCGCGGCCGGTCCCAGCGCAGAGGCCGTTCCCGTTGCCGCGGGCACTCACGGAGGGCGCAGAGCAGCGCTCCCAGCCCAACGCCGACCCGCCGCCCGCCCGCCATGGCGCCCGCTCCGAGGGCTGCTCGCGGCGCCGCCTGACCGCGTGGGGCCCGCCCACGCCTCGCTCCGCCGCGCAGCGTCCCGCAGGCGTTGTTGTGGACAGCCCGGAGGGGGCCTTCGGAGCGGGGGGCCTTTGGCTCCAGGGCCGCTGTAGCCATGGCAACTGGGCGGGGGGAAGGAGGAGAAGGAAGCAGCGCCTTCCTGCCCGGCCCTGCGGCCGCCCGAGGTGAGGGGAGGGGCGGGAGTACAAGGGAGACCTCGTGGGGCTCCTGGAGCGGGTCCAGCGGAGGGTACGGAGATGCTGAAGGGACTGGAGCATCTCTTGGAGCGGGAAAGGCTGAGGGAGCTGGGACTGTTCAGCCTCCAGAGGAGACACTGAGAGGGGCCCTCATCTATGTCTGTCAGAGTCTGCAGGAAGGGGCAGGGGATGGACCCGGCTCTGCTCGAGGCTGCCCAGCAGTGGGTGCCCAGCCCAGAAACTGATGCCCAGGAAGTTCCACCTGGACATGAGGAAGAACTTCCCTGTGCAGTGACCGAGCCCTGAACAGAGACCAGAGAGGGTGTGGAGTCTGTTCACTGGAGATATTCCAGACCCCTCTGGACACAGTCCTGTGCTGTGTGCTCTGGGATGGCCCTGCTGGAGCAGGGAGGTGGGACCAGGTGAGCCCCTGTGTTCCCTTCCCGGACCCATCTGGGATGTGCGAGGGGCGGGAGGGCCCGGCCCTGCCCCGCCGCCCCCCCCGGGCCGCTCCTGCGGCGGAAAAACGGCTTTTTAACGGTGAAAGCGGCGCCGCTGCTGCGCCGGCGTCGGCAGTGCCATAAAACACACCCGCGGATCCAAAGAGCAGCTGCTCACGTTTATGTTGCTCGTCTTCACAGAATCCCAAAATGGTGTGGGTTGGATGGGACATTAAAGCTCATCTCGTTCCAGCCCCTGCCACAGCAGGGACACCTTTCACTGTTCCGGGTTGCTCCAAGCCCCGTCCTCCCTGGCCTTGGACACTTCCAGGATGGTTAATCTCCACTATTATGGACTTTACTGCAAATTTGAACTCTTTCCTATGTGGCTTTTAACAAAGGAGGAAGACTTTTCAACTCTACTTCAAACCAGTTTTTGAAGAGTAATGTAATTTTTCTCAATTTGGAGACATACATTGATTTTTTTGGGGGTATAATTTATTACTTTGGCTCTCTGTAGGGCAGTCTGAGCTCACCTTCACATTTGGCATATTTTCACTTATTTAAAACCAAAATAAAAGTAACACATACTCAGTGTTGTAAACTGAGCTGGGAAACAAGATCTGCAGCAGACTTGGAGCTTTAAATCTGCTCTAATTTAATTCCATAATTCATTAATTTTCACCCAGAAAGGGGGTGGAGCCAAGGGCAGAGCTGATGCTGAGAAGTTCCCAAGAACATTTGGGGACAAATGTGATAAGGCAGAAAAGAGAAGTTGTTGCTGCCAGTCAGGCTGATGTTCCTCCTCTCCTGCTACAAGACCAAATGCTTCAGAGAAAAGTGAAAAGGATAATTAGGGACCAACTTCATAACCTCCTCCGTGTGGTAGCTGACTGAGGCACTGGTACCTGAGAGTTCAGGAGTCCTTACTTTAAAATGAGACATCTCCACTCTTTAAAATTAATTCATATTTTTGTTGTTAACTAATAAGGAGTTTTGTTATTTTTGGTTTTCATTTCTGACTGCTCTCTCTCCTTGTCACGAATGTCACAGGCTACAGATCTGGTGCTGTGGCGAGATCACTCTGAAGCTTCAGAAAGCAAACACTGACTGGGTGCCCCTGCTCTTAAAATCTGAAAAAAGGGGCAGCCACAGCATTAGATACATCAGTGGATGCAAGGCTGTCACTCACCATAAGAAATCAGGAGTGTGATATCCCCAGGATTGTGACAAACAGAGACAAATAAGGGAATTCCTCCCTGTGAGGGTGGTGAGGCCCTGGCACAGGTTGACCAGAGAAGCTGTGGATGCCACATCCCTGGACGTGTCCAAGGCCAGGTTGGACAGGGCTTGGAGCAACCTGGGCTAGTGGAAGGTGTCCCTGTCCATGGCATGGGGTGGAACTGGATGGTCTTTAAGGTCCCTTCCAACCCAAACCATCCCGGGATTCTGGGATTTTGCGGAACATGTCACTCTACTCCTGACAAAAAGACCAGCGCTGAGGGACACTCACACTTTGTTTCCTTTTTCCCTGTTTCCCAGTGAGGTTCACCATTGCTGAGGATTCTGATGAGGCCACTCCCAGCACCAGGACCGGGATGACCTTCACTGCACAGAAGTGCGGGGTCTGCTTCCAGCCTCCATCCATCGTCCTCATCTACAGAGACCACAGCCAGGATAAGACCCGCCGGCGCATCATGCCCGTCAGGAATTTCTCCAGGTTCTCAGGTGAGGTGCATTTGTTCACCTGTAGCATTCCCCAGGTCCCCTCCAGACACAGAGAGAGGAACTCACTGGTAACAGCATTGTTAGTAACCACTGAGTAGCCTCCTACCGACATGCAGGGTGTGCAGACAGGGGTGTTTTGGGGTGACATTGCCTCCCTGAGGAGCCCAAGGCTCCATCTCAACCTGAGCAGTGCCTCTCTAAGTCTGGAGGGTTTGGAGAGACACCCTTGGGAGGGACTGGGAGAAGATCTGTCTCTGGGAAGAGCTTTGCTTGCAGCTGTAAGTCCTCGTGGTGGTTTTTGTCTCCAGACTGCAGCATGGCCGCCGAGCAGCTGAAGAACAACCCTCGGCACAAGTCCTACCTGGAAGGGGTCTCGCTGCGACAGCTCCAGAAGCTCTACAGTTTGCTGAGAGGTCATCTGGGAGGAGAGAGCCTGGCTGAGAGCTTGGAAAAGTTTCAGCAGGAAGAAACCATTGACCCAGAGGAAGATATGAACAAACTAGATGACAAGGAACTAGCCAAGAGAAAGAGCATCATGGATGAGCTCTTTGAAAAGAACAGGAAGAAGAAGGATGACCCTGATTTCATCTATGACGTTGAGGTGGAGTTCCCACAGGATGAGCAGCTGGAGTCCTGTGGCTGGGACCTGGAGTCAGATGAAGAAATCTGATTCCAGACAGAGACAAACCTCACTGTCCCAGCAGAGAGGATGATGTTGGTGCTGCATGGAACTGATGCACATTGGCTACAGAGAATCTGAGGGACCACAGCAGTCCCAGGGTTAAGGGAGCTTTGTTTAAGAAGCCAGACTTGATGAAATGGAAACTGGGCAGCTGAAATTGTTGGGTGGTTTTAGTCTTTTCCTACATAAAAGAATTTATTTAATCTTTCCATTTTTTTACATTTCAGTCAGCTTTGGCTGAAAATGAAGTGTTAAATATTCATGTCCTGAAAGCACTGTTAAAGCTGTATTGCACAAGTAGAGTGTTTCTTATTGCCTGCTGGGAAGTTAAATATATATATCATTCTTTCTGGATAACTCAACAGTGCATTGAGGATATCACTCTCACATTTCCTGAGAAATGCTTAAATCTCCAGTTTTAGCTTACACAAATATAAATCCTTACATTTAAGAAAAGGAATATCTAGAAAATGGATTAGTCTTGAAAGCACTTTTGAAAACACAGTGATTTCAAATTGCTGCAGTGGGGTGGTTGGTTCCTTACACTGCTGGATGATGCTTTCTTATAAGGGGTCAATTCTGGGAGAATGTGCTTAAAGTATTCAAAAAAAATAGAGTGGTAGAAAGTCAAAGGCTGGGCTTTAGAGTAAAACAAAACCTTTACTCATCCCACTGAAATTTTTATTCCCACTGTCTACCTCAGCTGGTCTGTACCAGCCAAATCCTTCTCTCCTGCAACAACTGGAGGACTAAGTTTAGGATTTTTTAGGAAATTGCACAACTCCAAAAGCTTCCCGGGTTTCAGCTTTCCAAACCCAGGCAGCTGTGAGGGCTGTGGGTGGGATGGGCCTTCATCCCGAGCTGCTGCCTGAGGTAACTCAGAGGAGTTGTAAATGGCCTCCCAGACTAGTTCCTGCCTTCCTTCTTGCAACCACAAACTAAATAAAACATGTTAAATTTATCAGCAAGATGCCTTGTGGCAGCGCAGGCGCTGGGGCTGGAGGAGCTCTCCTCCCACACACTGAAACGATGGAGTCACTGCTGGGAAAATCTGGAACGGGTCTCAGTGAAACCACAGTGCTGTGCCATCACTGCAGAGCAGGAGGGAGCTCACACTTGGCCACGGGGGTCTTCAGTTAGAAACGGAAGCTGGTGCCTCACTTGCCAAAATTAAAGAAATCTAAAGCCTGACTCGGCTCTCCCAGGACCGGAAGGGGTGTGTGGGGCTCTGGCACAGGCCTTGCCTCAAAGACTGCAACAGAACAGCAGAGGAAGATTTCCCACTTGAGTGGGAGGGGGCCATGGGGACTCCTGCACACCCCTCCTGCACCCAGCGTTGTCCTGGCTGGGCTGGGAGGATGTGGCTGCACCCCGTCCCTGGGCATGGCCCTCCTCACAGTGGGGGCTCAGTGAGGCCTAACCAGTGCCCAGTTGAGGGGGTAATCACCTCCCTGGACCGTGAGGTTCCTGCTGGCCTGTCCCTCCAGCCCACACCAGTCCTTCAGGATGGAGCCCTGCTGGTCCTCCCAGTTTGGGCTCATCTGTGAACTTGGCACAAAGGTGCTCCACAGCCTTCTTTAGGTCATGGACAAAGATGAAACGGGGGAGATTCCAAACGAGACCCTGGTGTTTTCTCACCAGCCTCCTACTAACCACTACCTTGTGTACTTCATCTTCCACCTGATCCTTACCTGCCTGGCTGCCCATCCATCCAGACTGTGACATCCACACTTGGATGAAGAATGTTGTGGGACAGTGTCCAAAGCCTTGCTGAAGGAGGGAAATGGCACCCACTACTTTCCCCTTGCCTACAGATCCACCCATTTCATCCTGAGAGGAAAGCAGGTCAGGCAGGCACAAGTTACCCTCAGCAATCCATGCTCACTGCTCCCAGCCACCCTCTTCTAGAGGTGTGTTCCAAACAAAGGATACTCCGTGGTTTTCCCAACGTGAAGGTGACTGCCCAGTTGCTCCCTGGGATGTCCTTTTGGCCATTACTGAAGTTGGGTGGGACACTTGGATTCTCCAGTCATGGAGGGCCTTCCCTATCGCCATGACCTTGCAAAGATGGTGAGAGCAGCTTTGTAAAGACATCCACCACCCTGAAAGTGGAATCTCCTCCTGTTGCCCTGACATCCCATGCACATCCCAGCTCCAGGTGAGCCTCAGCTTTCCAGGCACGTGATGGGGGAGTGTGGATTATCCTGCCATCAGCTCAATAGAGCCAAGAACCCCCACTCTTTATTCGTGCCCTGGGCAGTGCCAGGTGCCCGGGTTCCTCCCTGCATGTGTTCCCACAGCTGCATCCCACATCCCCCTTCCAAAAGGAGATGCAGCATTGGCTGTGGTGGGGGGGAAGTGAGCCCATCCACAATCCAAGGCTGGCCCTGGCACCCACAGCAGGGGAAAACACCCCCAGGGACTGGGGCACCTGCTCACTCTGCCAGCAGGGAGACACTGGAATGCTGCCAGGAGACAGCACAGGGATGTATTTTTAGGTCATTGCTGTCCCCCGGGGGTGCAGCTTACTGGCAAAAGAAGGGCTGAAAGAGGCTGAGGGATTCCCCAGCTGGGGCCTGGTTTGGTTTTGGCTAGTTCAGTCTAAAATAGGGCCAGAAAGCAGCCATTTCTGAGCGGGGTCTGACAGTGGGGTTCCAGAGCCTTGGCCGTGCTCAGTCCCATTGGAGCTGCCAGCATGTCAGGCAGGGTCCGACCTGCGCCACTTCCCAGCCCGGCACAGCCATCGGCCACACCAGGCTCACCCGTGACCCCAGTCCCTGTCCCACACCTCTGCTGGGGAGGGGGCTGCCCTGCTCCTGCTGCCCGCACTGCCCCCGGCATCTTCCCAGCCCCACACCAGCCCGGGCATCTCCCTCCACCACCTCCCAGGACAACTCCAGTGGGCTTGAGTCCCCAGCACACCCCACATCGCCCTGCGGAGCCCACCCACATAAGAACGTGCCCCCGGCATGCCCACAACGGCACTGCTGCTTTCCCACTCCCCCTGTTCCCATTTAAACATGTTTCACTGGAAAATCCCAACAGGGCCAGGGAATAAAGCCGCTCCAGTTCTCAGCAGGGCTTTTGAGTTAGCACAAACCACCCTCACTTCTCCTTCCCCCACAGAGACTCTCCCAGGAACAGAGCAGCACTTCCCCAGGTAGCGCTGCCGCTCCAGAAGGGATGGTATGAGCTGCGACCGGAGCTGGGTGGAGGAAACCCCCCACACCCACCGGAGCAGGGCTTCCTCAATGAGGGGGAGGGCTTTCTCTTACTTCCTTTGCATGTTAAATCCAGCGCTGCTGGCAGAAAATAAGTCCATGATAAAATATCACCAGGGATATAATTTACTCTCCTGCCTTTCAATCCATATTTCACATCGTTTCATTTGGGCTGTTTTTAATGGACTTTCTAACCAGGACTGTGGCTTACCAAAGAAACAACCCCCCAAAATGTGTCTTTCAGTCCTGCTGACAACGCCCATCTTATCAGTGCACGCACAGGGTGCACGCCCCGGGCTGCCTGTGGGTTTGCAGTGCCCGCAAGAGCACTGTGGGAGGCTGAGGCTGCGGAGACCCTTCTCTGCAGCACCCGGGTGATGTCTGCTCCAGCCCGGGGCACCTCGTGGAGGCCCTTTGCAGATCTGGAGGATGTTTTGAGGTGGGAATAAATAAAAGGAACTGCCTGAAGGGGGGGGAGGGGAAACAGTGCTGGAGAAAACAGTCACAGAATCACAGACTGGTTTGGGTTGGAAGGGACCTTAAAAAATCATCTGGTTCCACCTCCCTGTCATGGGCAGGGACACCTTCCACTAGCCCAGGTTGCTCCAAGCCCCATCCAACCTGGCCTTGGACATTTCCAGGGATGTGGCATCCACAGCTTCTCTGGGCAACCTGTCCCTTCAGCCAAGAGGTGTTTGATGTTGTGTCTGCTCAGCTCTTGTCCACACCAGCCGAAGGTTTCTGCTGAAGACGTGTCCCTTGAGGATTCCCAGGCTCCTTCACCGGACACAGCCCTGAACCCTTTGGGTACCATTAGGGCTCACCCAGCACCCCGTGTCCTCCATCCATCAAATCTCCATCTCACCCACCTCGGAGGGGTTATCAACTGTAATCCTGTAAACGGCCAACCTCCCACTCGCATTCCCTGTCCTGAGCCCTTCCTTCTCCTCCTCCTCCTCCTCCTCCTCCTCCTCCTCCTCAGCCATCAGTAAGGGCTGGAAACCCCACACCGGTTTTTCAGCATCTTCAGCAGCTTCTCCTTGAGCATGAGGAAGACGACAGCGAAGGCCACCAGGAGCGTCAGGCAGGTGGGCAGAGCCAGCACGAGGTAGAGCAGCGCCAGGTCGGCCGTCTGCCAGCGGCAGCTCCGCAGGACGGGCTCGGGCAGCGCGCCGGGGCTCAGCGCCTGGGAGCCGTGGCTGCAGGTCACCTCCCGCCCGTCGGGGACGCGCAGCCCATCCACCTGCTGCAGGGCGTCCCACCAGCCCAGCGTGCAGCAGTTGTAGGGGTTTCGGCTGAGGTAGAGCTCCCGCAGGCTCCTCCCCAGCGGCGTCCGCGCTGTGTCCGGCGGCAGTGCCGGGAGGCAGTTGTCCCGCAGGTCCAGGCCGTGCAGCTCCAGGGCGCCCAGTGAGGCGGGGAAGGCGGTCAAGGAATTCCCCGAAAGGTCCAAGCGTACGAGGCTGTTCAGGGTGGAGAAGTCCACGGCAGTGGAGGAGAGGCTGGTGTTCCTCAGAGACAGCACCTGCAGCGTCAGGGCAAGGTCCTGCAGCCACCCCAGGCCCCCAGACAGCGCCTGGCAGTTGTCAGAGAGGTCCAGGTGGATCAGCGACGTTCCCTGGAAGGGGCGGCCGCCCAGCCCCCGCAGACCACAGCCGGCCAAGGAGAGGTGGGTCAAGGTCTCCACGCCCCTGATGTCTATGCAGGGGGGACTCTCCGCCTCACCTGCAACGTCTGGCTGGGGACAGAGGTCAACCTGGTTGTGGCTGAGGTCCACAGTAGTGATCTTCCTGGTGTGGGTGAAAACCCCGGGAGGAAGCGCCCGCAGCCTGTTGGCACTGACGTTGAAGAGCTTCAGGTTGGGCAGGACATCCCCGACACCCACCTCTGTCCCCAGCTCCACCAGCCGGTTCTGGCTGAGGTCCAGCTCAGTCAGCATGGCTAAGGGGCCCTCCTCCAACAGGTGAAACGCCTCCAGGCAGTTCTGGTTGAGCTTCAGGTGGGTCAGTGAGGGCATCTGGGCCAGGAAGCCCTCCGGCAGGCCCCAGACCTGGTTCTGGCTCATGTCCAGCAGGCGCAGGGAGGAGAGGTTGCTGTAGCAGAGCTCATCCCAGAGCCTGACCGTCGTGATGTTGGTGGAGTTGCCATCAATGATGAGGAACTGCACGGTGACGTTGGCCAGGGACGTGCCATTGGGGAGGCGCTGGTAGAAGCTCATCCTGTTGTCCTGCAGCAGCAGGGAGTGGAGCTTGTTCTGCCGGGGCAGCACGGGGAAGAACAGCAGGCGGTTGTGGGACAGGTCCAGCACCTCCAGCTCAAAGAGGTCATCGCTTTCCAGAGCCAGAAACCACTCAATGACGTTGTTGCTGACGTTGAGCACCCTGAGCTGGGTGAGGCCGAACCCCACCAGACACGGGAGGTAGTTGTAAGCTATGTTGAGCCTCTGCAGACTCTGCAGCCCTTCGAAAGCTTCGTCAATCTCAAAGATGTAGTTCTTCTCCAAGTTCAGCTCCAGCAGCTGTGTCAGGTTTGTAAAGATGGACGAGTCCAGTCTCATGATGACATTCCTGGCCACAGACAGGGACTCCAGGGAAGATAGGTTCCAGACCAGAACCGACACCATGTCCTCAGTGAGGCGGTTTCCAGCTAGATCCAGTGTCCTCAAGGCTTGCAAGGCAGAAAGAGCAGCTGCTGTCAGCGAGTAGTTGGTGAAGAGGAGGTTGTCTGACAAGGAGAGCTCCTGGAGGCCTTGACTGCTGTGGAAGGCGCCGGGCTGGATGAGCTCCAGCCGGTTCCTGGTCAAACTGAGATGGCAGAGCTGGGTATATGGAAGCAGAGAGGCATTTCCCAGGACCTGGATAGTGTTGTCATCGAGCAACAGCTCCTCGGTATCACCTCGAAGGTTTCCTGGGATGGAGCTCAGCCATCTCCCAGTGCAGTCCATGGTGCTCTGCACCTAAAGCAAGAGGAGGATCTGTAACACCATTCTGAGAGGCAGGAGATGAGGAGGGAGAAGTTTGGGGAGCAAAGTGAGTATGGAGGAGGTGGCTCTGTGTTTAGCACCTTGGCACCCCAGTCCCCTCCAAGCCAGTAGCTGAGATAGGGAAGGTCTGGAGATGCTGAGGTGCCTGGGCTTTGCCAGGACCAAGCAGTCAGAGGGGTGAGGGTTCACAGGAGAGGACTTACGAGCTCACAGCCACCCGGAGGTGGTGCCCAGGCTGCAACTGCCCCGCTTCCCCGTCCCACTGCTAGGAGGACCAGAAGCAGGGAGAGACCAGGGAGCGGGGCCTCCATCTCAGCGGCGGCACTCCTGCGGAGATGGAAACAGAAGCAAGGAGGTCAGAAGCTGCAGACTGTTCACCCCAAAAGGCACAGGTGACCTGGGCCACCACGAGCTGCCTGTGGAGAAGGGACAAAGGGCCTCAGCACCAAGCCCACCCACCCCAGCAGGAGCCCTCGTGGGGCTCCCCCAGTTTGAGCCTGGAGGGCAGGAGAAGAGCAGGGACAGGGAGGTGGCAGCTCGGTCCCCGCACGGGGCAGCACATGTGGGAAAGGCACCATCAGAGCTGCACAGCTGCTGGTGAATGCCACTGAACTGCATCCCTCGAGCAGAGGAGTCCCCCTGGCATGGCTTGTGTCCCCTCTCTTGGCACCAAATGCTCCCCCAGGGGACACTGACCCAGTCCCCCCTGAGCCCCTCCAGCGCCTGTCCCTGCCGAGGGCCCTCCCGGGGAATTGGAAGCTCTCCAGCACAACCTGCCCCATTGCTGACTCGGTGGGACTGGAGCTGATGACATTTGCATCTGGGGAAAAGCTGAAACTCAGGCAAATGAGCAGTGAGGGCTCAGCAAGGCCTCGGCACACAGCACTTTCAGAACTGCCACTGCTTGAAGGAGAAACGGGGGGTTATCTTGGGCAGCCCTGCAGCTGGAGCCTCACAGCACAGAGAGAGCAGGGGCATGTCCTGGGCTGTCTCCTTCCTTGGGACAGCCAAAAGTATTGAGCTGGTGCCTTATCAAAGCAGCATTTATTAATCAGGGGGATGCAGAGGAAGCCCCCCTTCTCCGAGCTGCAGCTGACACACAGCACCTTTTGCCCTCCCAAGCCCTTGGTCTCCAGCAGCAGCTCATACCCAGCAGGGAGCAGGAGAGGGACCTTGCTGAGTCCTCACTGCACCCAAAAACCAGCAGCTTTGGCTCTGGCCCCTGAACTCCTCTGCAGAAACTCCCACTTGCCTTCACCCAGCCCAGCCTTTCTCGGCCTCTCCGAACACCAGGAGCACCTCCATGCTCCCGCTCCTCCCTGGAGCTGCAGGGATGGCACCTGCCCAGCCAGGAGAGCAGGCAGCAGCCCTGGCAGGAAACCCCTGCCCGCAGCCCCACACCAGAGCCCACATCCAAGAGCTCTAGGAGCACCCAGGGTGCTCCCCACACCTCACACCAGCCCCAGCACCGGCCCACGCAGCCACAGCTCTTCAAGCGTGGGCACCGGTGGCACACAGCCACCACAGACCCGCAGGCTGTGTGCCACCAAGGGCTCCCCAAAAACCCCCGCTGGGGTTTTCCCCCAGCACAGGTATGGGGGACAGGTACTCACCACGTGGGGCGGCGCGCAGGGTTTGGCACAGCCCATCCTGAGGCCAGTGGCCCCTGGGCTGCGCTCGGGGGGCTCTCGGGGCCGGGGGCAGGGGTGACCCGCTGGGCGTGTGACCCACCCGCCCTGTTGCTGAGCACTAATATAGCCTTTGCGGAAGGAGCGACGGAAACTGCAGTCACATGGAGGCAGAGAGCGCGGCCGAGCTCCTCGCTTACTGATCTCAGCACTTGCAGCCGGGGTCACGCACTCACACACGGCTCCCCGGCAAGGAGGAACCTCGGGGGCCGGGCAGGGAACCAGGGGGTGCCAGGGGGAACCAGCTCCTGCCTGTCCTGCTGCTCCCAGGGACAAGCCTTGCATTGGGACTCCTCTGCACGGCTCCAGCAGCAGAACCCCTGCTCGGGTTTTGGACCGACTGAAGGGATGTCCGTGGAGCCACGGCACTGGTTCTGCAGCGTGGAGAAATGCCACCAGCCTACATGGAACCTATTCCCATTGTGCCTCTCCAGCCCCTGCTTGCCTCCAGTGCCCAGCACAGGGACTTTGACAGGAGCCGAGGGATGTGCATCCCATGGGGGAAGAAGGGGCTGTTATTTCCTGTTGCATCCCAAGCCAAGGTTGGACATGTCCCAGATGTTGAGTCCCCACTTTGGGACACCCATGCCCAGCCCCTCACATTGTGTAGGTGAGATTTGGGATGCTCAGATTCCCCACCCCCAGTCCTTTGGGTCTCCTGGGGCTGCTCAGGATTTCTGCAAACCCAGCACCCAGGGCACAGGTCAGACCCATCTGGATACAGGGACTCCTGAGTGCTGATCCCTATGGGAAACTCAGCAGAACTGGCTTTTCCCACAGCTGCCAAGAAACAAAGATCCATGTTTCCAAGGCAATATGAGCAGGGAGGTCCCCTTACTCCTCATCCCCATCTACTCCTGCTCTCTATCTCCCCATCCCATGCCTCCCTTCTCCCAAGGTCTCCACGCATCCCCAAAGCCCCAAATCCAGCTGCTGAGGAGGAAAACAGTTTGCATTGATCTACCTAGCTGGGGAAGGGTTCAGAACTATGGAGGAGGGATCCAGCCCTGCAGCAGGACCCTGTCTAGTGGGATCAGCAGGTTCTGCTCTGCAGTGTCCATGCTCCACATGCCATGTGCTCCATGGCACCAGTGGGATATTCTGCAGAGCTGGGAGATGAACTGTGGCACACTAAGACCTTCCCAAGGGACATCTCAGCTGGGATCCCCCCCACCTGCCAGACCACGTGGCCCCCAAGCTCCTGCAGCCAACACAAATGACCAGGGAGATAATTTTTTTGCCCTCCTCCTAAATTTAATTTCTTCTCTGGGAGAAGGCTGAGCTGTCCCATGTCACTCGTGAAAAAGCCCTGTGGTTTCATTTCCTCCATTTTCAAGGAAGTTTGACATACAAAAATCAAGAAGGAGAAGAGAGAAGTGAACAGGAGTGGCAGAAACTGCAGCAGGGCACAATTCCCATGGCATTGCTCAAGGGCACACGAAGGGCTGAGAGTGGCCAATGGTTATAAACTGCTGATCCCAAACCATGCCACGAGCCCAGCCCTCGCCCAAACCCCTCACCTGGTGCTTGGAGGTGCGGGAGCTGGCAGAGAGTCACCTGGAGCTGTAAAACTTGAGCATCCTCAGCCCTGACCATACTCCACTCACTGTATCTGGAGGCTCCTGGGAGACCTTCTGGTGAGATTCCTCCTTGTGGTGCCACCAAACACGGTGATGCCTTGAGGGTCAGACCAGCTTCCTCCTGTGGCCCAGCAGGAACTGGGAGAGAAAACGACTTGTTTCATGCCCTGCTCCACCCCCAGCCCATCCCCAGAGCCAGGGCAGCGTAACCCCCTCTCCCCGGCAGCGAGGGCACCGTGGGGTGGGAGAGTCCCTGCAGCACCCACCCAGGTTTCACCCACCCCACTGTTCCCAAAAGCAGCCCCAGGCCAGGGCTCTGTGCTGGGGCAGTTTGGCAGCAGTGCTGCACTTCACACTTTCCCCACATCCTGCAGCCGGGTGGTTCTGAAAACGTCCCAGAGCTGCTGCTCGGTCCCCTCCTTTTCCTCCCCAGCAGCATCACACCCCCCACCTCCCAGCCCTCACACTGGATGTGTGGTTTATGGGGGTTTAATTTATTTTTCAATATCAGCACAGTAAAGGGACAGGGACTGAGCTGCCAGGACCTGCTGCTCCATCCAGCTCTTCAGGAAGCTCCAATCCAGCCCAATGGCACAGGTGGATTAAATTGAAGGAAATTCAGCTGCTTGGAGCTGTGTCTACAAGAGCAGCTGCAATTCCTGCAGCTGTAGGGGAGGACTGGGAATCCCCACATGGTTTTACACCCAGTGAACTTCCTCTGTTCCTCCCACGTCCTCTTCCTCCAAACCATCTTTTTCCCTTAACAAGCCTCAAATTGTCAAGCACAAACCAAGAGAAAAGTTGTGACAAGAGGGCAGGCTCCCAGTTACTCCTGGAATGCTGCACCCAGTACAGGACCCTTGGGAAAGGAGAAACTGCAACAGGAAACAGCAGCCCCATTGCTGCACCAATGTTTTCCTGCAGGAAACGTGATTTATTCCAGAGTGGAAGCTCCAGGAGAAGGGTCACTCAGTAGCAGGACCACAGCCTTGGTGAGTGGGGGAATAGTGAAACAGAAATGTTTCTCCATGGGCTTCCCTGACTCCCACTGGAATGGAGAAGTGGAGAGAATTAAACAAGTGGCTCTGCAAGGGAGGATGGTGCAAAGCATCATTAATTTAATTCATTTCATTTAATCACCTGCTCTGCACAAAACAAGGGAAGCTCCAGGTCTGCTGTATCCCAGGAGCTGCCAGTAGCAGTAGTTGCCTCTAATTTAAGATGAACTATGAACATAAAAAAGAAAACAGATCATTTGTTACACGGGCGAAAGGGAAAAGCTAAAATGGCCAGCTCGATGCCTGAACACTTTAAACTACAGCTCTGGAATTTCATCTGGCTGAATTTCTGCACAGGAATCCACCCAGTTTATCCCCAGGGAATAGCTAGGGATGTGTCCCATCCCAGGATGGCACAGATGAATCGATGTACAGGAGCAGGGGCTCCCCCAGCCCAGCGCTGCAGTGGGACGGGAGCTCTGCAGGAAGCACAGCTCCCCTTGGTGTAGTTCCTGCAAGGGGAAACCAAGGGCCAAAACTCAGCAATTTATAATCAGCTGCAAAATCTTCTTCCCCCCTCAGCTGTAGCCAAACCACCTCCCTGCTGCTTTACCTGGCCACGCTTGGGTGTCCAAGGAGAGGCGTGTGCCGGCACTGACATCAGTCACTAAAGCTCCAGGCTCTGGTTTTGCAGTGACTCCTGTGCCTGGGACCCCCCAGAGCCCCAGCACCTTCCTCTAGGCTCACTCCCCTACCCCACTGCTGCTCCCCTTCCAGCAGCTGCCCACACTCCTGGCTCTCTCCTGCTCTGCAGTTACACATTTAGCCACAGCCAAGCCCAGCTTTGCTCCCCCATCTTATAGAATCCCAGGATGGTTTGGGTTGAAGGGAGCTTTAAAGCCCATCCAGTTCCACCCTCTGCCATGGGCAGGGACACCTTCCACTAGCCCAGGTTGCTCCAAGGCCCATCCAACCAGGCCTTGAACACTTCCAGGGATGTGGCAGCCACAGCTTCTCTGGGCAACCTGTGCCAGGGCCTCCCTCCCCTCACAGGGAAGACTTTCTTCCCTGTATTCCCAGCTGTCAGGAATCACCTAGCTCTTGCCAGGTTTTCTGATGGGAAGAGGGGTTCAAAGAAGACTTCTTTGAACCCAGAATTAGTTCTGGGTTGTTCTGAGCAGAGCACTGGGCTTGCTTACCCACCTTTGCAGCCCCTCGCTGGCTGCTGACATCTGAAGAACTGGGGCTGTGGGAGCTCAGGGAGGAGGGGGGAGGCAATAACCCCCCAGGACTGACAATGTGCAACGAGCCCACAGGGATCCAGGTGAGTCCCAGCACAAACAATTGGGAAAATGAGGCCTTTGGGCTTGGATGACATTGGTTCAGGACCTAAACACCACAGCAAGTCTTTGACCCTTCAGTCTCTAAAAGGTTCCTCTATGGGACTCAGAAGAGAGGCAGGAACAGGTCTTAGCGGAAAGCAAACCCACATTCCTGGGGGCACAGGGCCGTGTGGGAAGGGAAGAGGGGAACTGGTCGGCGGCTCAGCCACAGCCCTTTCCCGGATCCCCGTGCCGGGGGTGAGGCTGCACCCTGGTTCCCTTCCCACAGGCAGGTCCAGCCCAGGCAGCTCCATCTCCGCGGTCACTGCTCTTCCTCCTCAGCCTGTAAATGAGGAGGAAGTGGGACAGGGAGGGGAGAGCCACAGCAGGATCTTGTTTCCCCCGCTCGCCTGCACGCGTGGCCATCACACCCCTGCCCTGCCCCGGCCGGGCCTGGGGGCTGCACAGGATCCAGCACCACGATGCCGAGGGAAACCTCCTTGGAGAGCGGGATGGCATCTGGGTCACACAGAGCAGAACATGCACTGGGATGCACTGGATGCTGAAATAGTGCAACCTCGTGTTTCTGCAGCAACTGGAAGCCAAGAGCATCCACTCCCTTGTGTTCCGAGACATTCCAGAGACACTCGAGAACTGCATCTGCAGGAGAAGCAAGTGCCCAAAGCTGGACAAGGCCACTGACCTTATGCCCAGAGAAGTTGTGGCTGTCCCATCCCTGGAAGTGTCCAAGGCCAGGCTGGACGGGCCTTGGAGCAACCCGGGCTAGTGGAAGGTGTCTCTCCACGTCGCAGGGAGGTGGGACTGGATGGGCTTTAAGGTCCCTTCTAACCTAAACCTTTCTGTGATTTTCCTCCTACATGTCCTCAAGAGCTGCAAACAGCCCCACAACCAGGTTGCTTCCATCTAGTTTGGTCTTAGGTTGCAGCTACGCCCAAAAGTGTTGCCCAGGTTTTTCCCAGAGGATTGCCAAATGTGGATAAACTGACTTTATTTTTGCACTCTACCATAAAATAAACTATTGAAAGCAGTAAAATCCCTTGATCCATCTACTCCAGCACATTCACCAAAGTTTTTAACCATAGAATCATGGAATGGTTTGGGTTGGGAGGAACCTTAAAGCTCATCTCATTCCATCCCCCTGCCACGGGCAGGGACACCTGCCACTAGCCCAGGTTGCTCCAAGCCCCGTCCAACCTGGCCTTGGACACTTCCAGGGATGGGGCAGCCACAGCTTCTCTGGGCAACCTGTGCCAGGGCCTCACCACCCTCACAGGGAAGAATTTCTGCCCAATAACCAATCCAAACCTCCTGTCTGTCAGTTTTTAGCCCAAAACTCTCAGGACTAGAGGCTGTAAGTCACCAGAAGGAGAAGGTTTGGACAAGTCACTGCTATGACATCATTCAGCAATGCAAATTGTGGCAAGAAAAACTACTCCCATCTGCAGCCCCATATAGTCCCTTCCTGCTGCTGTTCTGCTTCTAAGAGAAGTGAGTAATTCTGTCAAGAACGCAAAGGGAAGTGAAACTCTCTCAGCTCCGTGCAGAGCTGAGCATATCCCACCCGGCTTTCCACTCTGGCCAGGAGGGCCAACATCCCTGCAATGCAGCCTGATCTCACGAGCAGCTCTTCTGGAAGCAAATTCACACTCCAACCTTTTCCCAGGTTTTCAGCTGTGGAGTTCAGCATCCCTCTTTTCCAGCGTGCTTGGGGGACGAGTGACAAAGAAAAGCCTGTCTGTGGGGCCTGGGGATTGGAGCACCCTGTTGCACGTAGGACGTACCCTCGGTCTTGCATAGAACAGAAAAACTGACAGGACAGAAGTTGCTGTGGGTTTTTTAAACAATCTCCAACACAAAGGTGGCATTTTGGTACCCAAAACCCCATCCCTGGAGCTGCACCCGAGAGAGACTCAAAGCACTTTCACCTCTCTGTTTGGAGACCTGGCTTCACACAGGAGTGCAGGAGGGGGAAGTTCAGTCGGACACTTTGATCAATACACAGATCCTCCCCTCCTGCCCTCTGCTTTCCTGCCGGGAAGAGCAGCTCATGCTGCCAGTAAACATGAGCCACATCCCAGCTGGACATGTAAAAACACCTGGTTTCCATCCTGCACACTCTCCTGAGTCCCACTAATGTTTCAGCTCTGCTCCAGTTCTGCTCCTGTCAGTTATTTTTCCAGGAATAGATAAAATTATATGCTGAAACTGAGATAAAAATTTCTTGGCTGCTTCCAAAGCGGGATCCCGCCCTCCAGCTCTGCTCTTGCACAAAATCTCGTGGAAGGGCTCAGGTGCCCAATGTCAGATGTCACCTGAGCACAGAAAAAACAAACAAAAAACCAACAAAAAAAAACCCCAAAGGTGATTTGGAAGTGGCAGAGGCTGAGCAGCCTGGTCTAGTGGGAGGTGTCCCTGCCCCATGGCAGGAGGTGGAACTGGATGAGCTTTAACCCAACCCTCCCAACCCAAACCAGTGTGTGACTCCATGAAAAGCTTTAACCACTGCAGTATTTGGAATATGATACAAAAAGCACTTTGGCCAACATCCATTTCCTCACTGGCAGGTTTGTCCAGCACTTTATAAAGTCACAGATTGGAGCTGGCAGAGTTTACTCTCTCAAATTGCTGTTTGAAAGTGATGGGATAAGGCTGAGTTCTCCTAAGCACGGGATGCTCAGGATTAAAAAGAAAAAATAAGTCAGGCAGACATGAAACCACTCCAGGTAACTCACACCACACCTGCCAGTGCAGGCATGGAGGGAAAATCCATTCAATTCCTGACCTGGTAAAATTGCAGAAGAACAAACAACACTCATAATGTACAACCACTTTTATTTTTTAAATCCCTTTTCAGTGATTCTGATTTTTCTTTCAGCTGCAATTACATTTTTTTAAGTAAGTTTTTGCTGATATCACTATTTCCTGATCATAAATGCCTGAGAGGAAGAAAAGCAAGTCTGGGAAAGAGTGGAACTTGAATAGCAAGTGACATTTTTTTGAGTGCCTCAAATCCCTGTCAATCCTTTAAGGTGATTTCAGAGCCTTGGCTCAGTCTGCTGTCACTAAAAGTCATTTTCTGAAATGCAAATATTTGCTGAGCCTAATTTCAGGACCCAGGGTTCAAACAAAGGAGTGAATTTAAAAAAAAAATCTATGTCCAACATCCACTTCCATTGAGGGTTTTTAGTTTTGGTTTTTGAGGAGGACAGGAGGACAGGAAGCAAATGCTAAGGGAGAAGGTTCCATATTAAACATTTAGTTTGCACAGCACTTAGGAAGCTCCACAAGGTTCCCACAGTGCTGTAGCTTTGCCCTCTCATGGGGAGGTGGCAGAGTTCCTTCAGAAGTCACACACCATCATCCAGCAGGAGACAAAAAGCTGCTTAAGGGATGAAATAGCAGGTTCAGCAGCACTGCAGGAAAATATTTCTGTGTTCATTCACTGCTTCATTCATTTTTGTTTCAAATGCATCATACTGTGCTGCGAGGTGGGCCTCTGTCACTCAGAGAATCAAACACAGCCACTGCCAACCCCTTAAAAACCTGGTTTGTAAATTCAGAGAGGACCTTAGTGCAGGTTTCAATAATGCTGCTTTCTTTCTGGCTGTAGATTTCATTGTATATAAATGAAAAAAAAAACCCCAAACCCACATATATCTAAGAGCTATTTATAACATGTAAAGATTTAGGACTGAAACATCTGCATGGAAATACACAGGCTCAGGAATGACTGAGGGCTGGTCATATCTCAAATACTTGGAGAAAATCAGTTTTGCATGATCAGACTATGATCAGGCTGAGCCTTATTTTAACTCATCGTTGCTGTCATCATCCCAGGGAAAATGAAAGAGGAGAAAAAAAAAATAGAGGCAGGAGAAAAAAAAAATAGAGGCAGGAGAAAAAAAAAATAGAGGCAGCCATCTGGAAACACACCCGTGTGCTCAGGGAGTTTAGAAATGTAGATCACAGATAAGCAGGGAGGAAAGTTGGATTTCTCACTGTCGGATTCCGAGGCAGGCAGGGAAGAGCACAGCTGCATCCCAGGAGCAGAGGCTCAGCCCACACCACCAGGTCCATCTGCTCCTGCCTGGGTTTGTCACCTGAGACACAACCAGGGGGCACAGAAACGAGTGGGGTTTGCTGGGGGAAGGCACTCGGGGCTCTTGGAAATGCACACTCACTGCTGCGTTTCCAAGTGGGGAAAAAACCCACCCTTTTCCAGGAGATAGCCCTACCAGGGTGAGTTTCCTGCTCCATCTTGATTTATCAGTTCAGCCATCAGCACCTGAGAAGTCACACAAGTGGCTTTGGGCCAGCACGAGCTGCCACCAAGGCCCAGAACAGCCTCTGCCCCCAAACTAGTGGCCACACCAAGCTCCTCACCTCCTCAGAGGGGTGGGATGGGGGCAGATGACCAACTGCTCAGCTCCCAACACATTTCACAGCACACTAAAATCACAAGGAATTCTGGGGTTTATTCAAATGATAGACAAAATGCTTGCTTATCCCAAAATCCTGGTGTCCTGCAGGATTCCAAAGCCAAGACCTGTGAATTTGACTGATTTCTGTTATGGGGGCTGTGAACAGTTGATATTCTCCCTGACCAAAGCAGTTAATCCCTTGTCAGGGTTAGAAAAATACCTCAAACAGCTGCTCAGCTGACCCTGAAGTACCTCAGGCTAAAAAAAAGCGAATCCACCTTCTTGGCAAGCATCAAACCCCTCTGCTCCTGAAGGAGCTCACAGGGATGTCGGCCAAAATTTACTGCTTAAAAACAGATTCTTGATGCAGAAAGTTTGGGAAGTGCCTCAGAGCTCACAACACAGTCCCCTGCTTCTTCCTAAAATCACCTACTTCTTCCTAAAAGCACCATGAAATATTGAACTTCCATGGGGAAAGCTGAGGAGACAGCAGGAAGCTGACGTGGGAAGGAGGCCCCTGAATAGAGCAGTGTGGCTGCAGCAGTGACCACACCACCCCAATCCAGAGGCCTCCAGCAGTCAGGAATGCCTTTTCCCCCAGTGCTGAGCTGTTTCAGAGGATGCAGTTTCCCAAGCACAGCTCTCAGACCACTGAGTTTCCAATCCCTTGTTAACCACTCACCAGACTCCATTTTCCAGCAGTCACACAGCAAATCACAGTCCCAGCGCCTCCGTCCTCCTCGTGCACCAAACTGCAGCTCCCTTCTTCCCATCTGGGGGATTCCACAGGTGCCATCCCAACAATCCACACCGACACATCCTTCTGAATGGTAGCAGAGTTTATTTTAATATTTTGTACAGCCAGCATTGGTCTCCAGGAATAAGTTATAATCTTACATAAGTGAGTCCACCCAAACCCACCCTTAAGGAATGTTCAACTTTCAGCATTTCTGATTTAGAGGGAAATTATTTAGAGGGAAATTATTTGGAGGGTGAGACGCAGTCTGAAGAATGGAAATCAATCTGAATTGGTGATTAAAACTCCTCGGAAGTTCTCAGGGTTTCCTTGCCTCTAACTGGATCATGGGCAAGCACAGAGGTTGTGTCTTTCAGGACTGCACTGAGAATACATTCATCCCGGGGACTATTTATTTTCCCAAACTGGACAGGGTTTTGTTTCCTTTATCCCCAACTCCACACCCCAAGGTTCTGCTCTGCAGATACAGACTTGACAGTCCAGTACAATCAATGCTTTGTAACAGATTTGTCCTGGAGGCACTGGGATGCCCATCCCACAGCCTTTATTCAGCTGCTCTCACCACCACCTAAAACACCTCCGTCGCTCAGGGCCCGTCCTGGCTGAGGCAGGAGGAGGACAGACCTCGACAGTGCCTTCCAGCAATGAACACACAAAACAAATAAATACTTTAAAATCCTTTAAATGGTAATGACTCACACAGTTCCAGTGCAGAACCTGGTGATCTACCAGGCAAAAAGCACTCCAAGGGCAAAGCCTCACTCACCTCCTTGCACTGCTCTCCTTGAGGAATTGGGGGGGATGAGCAACAGGCTAAGGGGAATTCCTCCCTCTGCCATGCTCAGAGAGAGTTGCCAGTGTCTGACATTAAGCAATTGGCATTCTCCAGTGCAAGAAAAGCAAAAAAAAGAGGTTGTATAAACATTTCCTTCTCCTTCTCCCTCTCTGAAAAGCAGCTCTGAAACAGCTCAGGCAGCTCTGGGAAACGCCAACCAGCACGAAACCAGTCATGACCCAGCCATGGGACTCACAGCTTTACTGCCCCATGAGAGAGCCTTTCTGGAGCTCCCTATAGACCTTCCAGCCTCAGAGCAAGGTGGTTTCACCAGAGAGCCCCTCCTCACTACACCTGGAAGTTTCCCAGCCTGCACATACCAGCACAGGGACACACCTGAGGGTCTGTACCTGGCTTTGAGAAAACCGGTGCAAGTGAAGAGCCCAAACATTGAACATGATCCAGAATCCCCATCAAAGGGCTGGTGAGAGTTTTACTCCTCCTGGGCAGGTGAATATTCGGGTACTGGGGGGATTTTATTTAATTAAAGAAAGGTTCAGCCAAGCCTTAAGGTCTTATAAAGCCATTTAAGCCAAAAACAAGGTCTGGATGCAGAAACTGAATGCTCCTTCCTCATTACCTTGAAACACTTTGCAACAGTGATTAGAAAGTGTAAGAATGCTTTTAAAAGTTGGTGGTTTTGATGTGGAAAGGAAGGCAAGCTCAGTGCTGTGCCGAGCCTTCCTTTCCCAAGGGGAGTGCAAGTTTTGGTGAAAGGAAACGTGTTGTGTTTCTTACAGAGGACAAGCCTGTCACAGAAGCCATGGAAACTTTCACAGGAAACGACCCAAAGTAGCACCATACTCCACAAGAGCATCCCAAAACACATTAGGATACAACAGAAGGGCACTGACACGAACGCTGGACACCTGCCCCAGGTGTGTGTTCTGATGTCACCGAGTGGGGTGATTTTTTTTCCCTTTAAGAAATTATGTTCCAGTTAGAATAAAGGCAAACCCTTCCTTTTAACTGTTCTTTTCAACGTGTTCTGTATATACAACCCTTAAAATACACTTAAAAATAGCTGCCCACGTGTTGTGTCGTTACACTGGAGAAGGGCAGTTACACAGACCCTGCCTCTCAGTACATTAAAAATTGGGAACACCCCCAGCAGCCCCGCTCTGCTCCGGCCCCCACGCTGGCCCCGAGGAGGGAAGGAAGGAAGGAACAAGCAGTTTGGAAATGGGAGTCTCTCACAAAACACACCACTTACAAATCTCGGAGTAATTTCCTCAAGCAGTTTTGTCTCAAGTCCTTTCTGAAATGTCTGAGGTCACACTGCCATCTTAGCAATGAAATCTGTTGCAACATGCATGTGTCAGCTTCCCACTCAACCAACTGCAGCCCTGAGGATTTTTCTGGCCTGGTAGAAATAGGAAATGTAACACAATTCCTGATGTATGGCTGGTCCTCTGTTTCCAAACCCGGTGTGGTTCCCTCGATGGTTCTTGGACACACACCCACGCTTTTTTGTTGTTTTTTTTTTCCTCTAATACACGTTTCCCTCTAACCAACATGCAGATTTCTCCTCCCAATCATCCACATCTTGACGTCCCAACGAAACAATCCACATCATCCATCCAGAGGTTTTCCCAGGTAGACCAAAGTCACTTCTGTGTTACCATACACAGCAGACACTGCTGGATACAGGCAAACTTTTGGCAGTCCTCTGAAGGCAACTCCCAGGAACTCATAGCCCCTCTCAAACGCTAACGTTTTGTCTTCCATGTCCAGGATAACTCGGATCCTTTCGCCTATCTGGAAACAGGGACAGGAGAAGTGGAATAAAAATAACACACAGAAAGAGTCAGCATGTTCAGATGGAGATAAAAATAATGCAAAGTGCAACACAGCAGAGAATTTTAAAGCAAGGCTTTCCTGCTTCTCATGCTTTATTGCTTTAACAATGAGAATTTCCCAATTTCACTCAAATTCACCATGATCCGAGTGCCTCTGAAGCCGGGCAGCCTGTACCCACCACCTACTTATGATAATAAACATGACCCTTCTCATACAAACGTGTGAGAGCACTGAGAGCAAGCACAGAGTGCCTGGTGCTCTGGAAACCTGAACTCTGTGTTCAGCTGCTGCTATCGCTGAGCAGCTTCTCCTTTGTGAGGAGCAATTTTAAAGACAATGCATTTTTTAAGAAAGGCAAGTGCCACCTACAAAAAAATCCCAGAATAGACTGATATGCAGGTGCTGTGGCTGACAGAGGTGTTTCCTCACCAAGGCTGAGGGAAATTTCACTACAAAAGGTAAAATAACCATGAAAACCCGAGAGTATATACACACACGAGTGAAACCAACACGGATCTCAGCAGGAGACTCTGATCCAGGCAGGCACAGAGCTCTCTGGGTTATTTCAGACATCAATACAAGTCCCAGAGGGCAGCCACAAGCACAGCAGGCGCCGCACAAACTCCTGACTCTTCTCCAAGCAGCCCCAGTGCTGGGGATTTCTTCCAGCCAACAGATTTTTCTTCCAACCAACACTGACACACTTTTGTCTTCCCTTTAAATATGTTTTCTATGAGCAGATCACTGCACATGCCCTAATAAACACAAAATACGCCAAAGGATTGCCGATTTTAACTTTCACATGAAATTTAGGAATATCAGATGCAAGTTGCTACACAGATCTTCATCCACAAGTGAAACATAAGCCAGTGCAAAGCCACAGCACTGAGGGCTGGACTAGATGATTTTTAGAGTCCCTTCCAACCCAAACCATTCCACGATTTCGTGATTATGAGATGGAAATGACAATGCATCCAGTTTAAGCTGTAACACGAGCAAACCCAGCAGTCAAAACGCAGTTGGGTGAGCAGGCAGAACGACAAAGACAAGCACTTCCCTAAGGACAGAAAGGTGGGATAGCATTTGCTCTTTAATACCCTGAAGTTATCTGAACATCACGTCCCAGCCAAGGGATGTCACCCACGGGAAGGCAGCCAGCCAGCAAACGCAGCACTCAGCACTGCTGCAGGAAGACTCTTACCTAAGCACTAACCTCAGCTCACCCTGCCAGACAACAACAAAGGGGGAAAACAGCTCAGACACTCACCCTGCTGTGGGGCAAGTCACTGCTTCATGAGGCTACAACAGTCTTTTCAGCTTTTACTCCAAAAAGCAACACGGTGTGTAAGCAGACACGCACGGCACACGCTTCACACTCAGTGTTTGAGATTAAAGTGTGGAAACAACCCAGGGTCAGGTGCACTGAACACCAGACAGGTGTAGCCTGCGGAAGCAGTAAACCAAGGGGGAAAGGGCTCACAAGGCAGAATCATCTGCCTTCTGCAAGGGGGGCACAGAGACCCTTAAGTGGGCATTTAGAAGCAATTCGGCAGCCAGCCAGGACACCCGAGGAACGGCCAGGACAGGGGAGGAACAGCCAGCACCCACCAGACCCGCGCCAAGCCCCCTCACCTGGTACTTGGGCGCGTTATTGCACTGGGGGAAGCTGCCGTTCACCTCCCCGTTATGCAGCAAGTTATTGTCCACCAGGTTCCAGCCCCAACTCTGGTCGTCGCTGCCCAGCAGGGCCACGTAGCCCTGGCACTGCATGGCCGCGCGCTTGGTGGCGATGCCGATGACGGCCACGGTGCCCAGCGGGCCCTCCCACCACACCTCCCAGGCGTGCCGGCCCTCGCTGAAGCCGATCTTGGTGCGCGCCCCGTCCGTGCTCTGCGCGATGGGGTTGCGGTGCAGCGTGAAGCCGTTTTTCTTGATGTAGACGTTCCTCGAGCAGTCGTTGGTGCTGAAGGCGTGGTGGAAGGCACGGACCTGGCGGAGAAGAAAAGGAGGGTGGTGGGGGAGATGGACGGGACGTGGAGCAGCCTGGTCTAGTGGAAGGTGTCCCTGCCCGCGGCAGGGGCCGGGAACCAGATGAGCTTTCAACCCAAACGAGATGGGCTTTCAACCCTTCCAAGCCAAACCCCTCTGTGGCTCTACGACATAAAACCCTGCAGCGTTTTCCAGCCCCCCTTGGTTTCCAGTGGCGAGTGGGCCGAGGGGCTGTGGGGGCGTCCCCAGGCGCCCGGGGGGTCGCTGGGCGGCTCTGGGGGGGTGTCCCCGCGGGTCGAGGGTCCCGGCCTCACCTTGCCCTTGTAGGTGGGCACGTTGCAGAGGATGTCGGTGCGCAGGGCCTCCTCGGCCAGGCAGCGGGCGGCCAGGCTGCGCC